GCTTCGGAGGTGTCGGGCCATGACGCGCCGGAGTTTCGGTCCACCGAGGCGAGCGAGAACGAGGTCATATCGTTCGTGCGCCGATGGGATTTGGTCCGGAGACAGTACTAAGCCTTGACAAAGGCCGCAAAGGTGCGTCTGTCGGAGAGTGCAGGAGGAACGCGTCTGGACATGATGTCAGTTTAGCGCGCTCAACAAGGAAGACCTCCAGGCGGTTGCTTTCTTCACTTGCTGGGCGGACTCCCCGAGGGCCAGATCACCAAGCGCTTGCAGGAGATCGAGACCCTGAGGTTTTCCCGCAGCTGGAGAACGACGACAACCTGCGGCAGGCGTTGCGCGGAGATCACGGCCAGCTGGCGCCGGCGGGATTTGGTCCGCCGAGCGATTGAGGCCATCGCACAAACTTGTGAAGCTTGGCAAGAGTCTTTGAACGGCCGCGCGCGTGTTTCTGATGTCTCGCGAAGGTCTCGCAGAGGTCTCGCAGAGGTCTCGCAGAGGTCTCGCGGAGGTCTCGCGGAGGTCTCGCAAAGGTGTCTGTCGGTCTCGCCGAGGTCTTTCGGACCTTTCGGTGTTCAACGCGCTGTGTCAAGCCACAAGCAAGAAGTCCAGGCAATGAGCTTTGCGACAGGCAGAGATCTGCAAGACCTCTGCGAGACGTCTGCGCGATAGCCTAGACACAGCTGCGCGCACGAATTGTCGCATCCGCAACTATTGAGCCCACGTGTCAACAGACGGGTAAGGAAGTCACCTTCAAGTGACATGATGTTCACTCTCACACGGACCTGCTGAGGGTGCACGTTTGCCTGGGTGCCCTTTGAGGCAGAAAGCCGTTTGTTTTCTGCGGGATGATCTTTCCACGCATCTGAAATGCATCTAAGCACAAAAACTCTTCCTGCATTGGGCCCAGCCCCCAAGCATCAAGCTTGTCGATTAGCTCTTCCAAAAAACGCTGGTGGGAGAACCGCGGGCCAATGCTGTGCTGAGAATACAGTAGCTCATCAACAGGAGCAACGCTGGTGTCGACATGCTCCTCATCAACAACGTTGTCAGGCCCCAACTGTGACGCACTTCCCAAGCTGTCGTATGGGTTGTCAGCTGTCTTAAATCACCGTGTTGATGTCTCAAACTGCTCGCCATCATTGCGCTGATAACCATCAATCGGCCATATCGGCCTTGAAAACCCACAGCGCGTGTCCCTTCCCGTTGGCCCGGAAGACCGGGAACCCTTGGTGCTCCAAACCAGAAACTTGATGTTTGTAGAGGTGCGTGTCCTTCTTGGTGCCGATGAAGAATCTTGAGCTTGCCATTTAACTCGCACCGCAGCAAGCAAACAGCAAGCAAAGAAGCTTAAACAGCATGGGTTGGGCCAAAACGCCCTCAGAAGAAACGCAAAAAAGATAGACAAATAGATAGAGAGGTAGAGAGCGAGAAAAAATAGATAGACAGATAGACAGACGGATAGACAGATAGATAAATAGATAGATATAGAGAGAGAGAGGCAGATAGCGAGATGGATGGTGGATAGATAGATAGACAGACAGATAGACACATAGATTGATAAATGGATAGACAGACAAACAAACAGATAGAGACATTGATCGGTCGATAGACAGACAGACAGACAGACAGACAGACAGACAGACAGACAGACAGACAGACAGACAGACAGACAGACAGACAGACAGACAGACAGCAAGACAGACAGACAGACAGACAGACAGACAGACAGACAGACAGACAGACAGACAGACAGACAGACAGACAGACAGACAGACAGATAGATAGATAGATAGATAGATAAAAAACATTCACAGATAGATAAACAGATAGAAATAGAATAAAAAGATATGTAGATATTTAGAGATAGAGATAGACAGATAGACAGGATTAAGTAGGCCCTTTGTAAAGGTCTGGCTCTCGAAAAGTCTGGCGCTTCCAAAAGCTTGGCCCTTTGAAAAATCCAGCGCAGCATACTCTGCAGCCAGCCCCGCGAAAAGTCCAGCGCAGCACACTCCGCAGAGCGCCCCGCTGTAGGAGAGGAGAGGCCCTAAACAATCAGGGCAAGGGTGCCCCACACAACACACCAGAAGCAGAGTCAGGGCAGTTTAAACGGACGAGAACCGTGCACAGCCCCCAGCCCCCACATCACGAACTTTTGTGCATTGCTCTTACTTGAAGCGCTGTCAAGAACATGCCCAAACAACTTGAATGCAAAGCTGCAAGCTTCTCAGCAAGAAGCGGTTTCAGCACCAAAGTAGTAATCCGGAACACAGGCTCAGCAATAAGTGATTGCTAGCTAGACTAAAGTAATACTCAAAAAATCAGCTCAGCAAGAACTCTAGCAAGAAGTCTCTTTCTCTACACTGATCCCTTGCAGCGCCCATCAAGAATTGACATGGCCTCTTTTCCGTGCCCTCCTCGGCACGTTCGTACTCATCTAGGTCATGAGAAAGGGGCCTGTGCTTCTTGATCTGCTTATGGAATAGATCCTCGAGAGTCTTGTTCTGCTCATTCACCATTCCCGTAAGAACGGAATCCCATCTTGCGAGGAAGTTTTTTTGAAATCTTCGTTGATGAGCTGAACAGAGTCATCAGAAGGCGTCCTACGCCTACTTCTTTGGTTCTCGCAAATGTGAGAAGTTTTTAGCGCCAGAGAAGGACTTACACAAGTACGCGCGCTTGCCCAGATTTGGGCAGAGCAAAGTTGCACAGAGCACTCGCTCAGAGAACTTGTGCAGAGCGCAGGGAGCACTTGCGCAGAGGAACACTTGCACACAGCACTTGCGCAACGCAACGTGCACTGAGCAACTTGCGCGGAACTTGCGCAGAGAAGCTTGCGCGCGGAGAGTAGGAGCTACAACTCGACACCCACCAGCATCATCACAAAAGACACGAGGAAGCACGTTTACGCCCGCAAATGCTTTTGGGCCACCCGCCTTCTCTGTGAAATCTGGAAACCATCGAGTTCTTCCAACATCCAACACACTCGTGTCCGAGGCGCAATGAGCTCCGCCAGCTCCGGGTCCGAGGATGAAGCCGCAGGCGGACGGGTGGACGGGCGGACGGGAAGTCGGAAGTGGGAAAGTGGCTAGACGGCATGTTTGGATATTTCGAACAGATTCTTCAGATAGTTTGGGAGCAACTTCTGGCCTTGGCCAGCAGTTCTGACCCAGAAATCTACAAGATGAGACATGCGGGTGTGTCTAAAGCAACATGTGACCCGCCACACGGATTGCAAAGAGAGAGTGCGTGAGCGAGCAAGCAAGCAAATCAAGTAAGTGAGTGCGGGTGGGCGGGCGGGACTGCGGGCGGGTGAGTGGTCGGAGGTGGCGGCGACGGCGCGGACGACAAAGTAAGAGTAAACAGAAACCCACGCAGTCATGCGGGGAATGAACACTAACTAGGATTCAAATGAAAACATTGGTGGACATGGGTTTTGATTGAAGTCAATTTGGGTTTTACTTTCCAATAGCACACTGAAATAGACGTTCCTTTCCAATTTGATGTTAAACCCCATGTAATGTGGATTTTGAAGAATAGGAAACAGTCCAAGGTAGAGTCTAAATCGACTTTTCGGGTCTGTTGTGCCTGCTGTAGAAGCGGATGGGGGTAGCGTATATGTCTAGTGAATATATAATATATGTTCCAGTCCCCAAGGGTAGGGCCCCCCTGAGGCCCACTGCCGGGGTGCTTATCCCAGAAGGGAACTGGCAATCTGTGGTAGTGGAGGGCGTTGATTTGGTCCCTGGATCTATTCCAACATGCCAATATGGAGGATTGGAGGATGGATTGTTGCTGGTGGCTTGTGTTGACTGTGATTCCTGTAAAGCGGTCTGCAAGCCTTTTTATCAATGTACCATGAGTCGAATGACTGTACAAATGACTTGAAGGGCCTTGAGCCATCATGTCAGCGGAGTGTGTGAATAGGTCAATGTGCAACAAAAAGCAACACAAAACAGACACACATTTCTTTTGACCTGTCACACCGAAGTGTATGATTGGCTTCTTGGCCTTACGTGCCGTAGCCATACTTGAAAGTGCCGTAGCCATGTATTGTCACAATGATTCATCCAATTTTGGCGCGGATAATTTGTCATGTGAGCAAAATGGAAAACAGTCTGCACTACTTCTGTGAGATACCTAGATGTATCGAAAAGGTGATGCACAACGCTATGTACATGCGGGACGGATGTGAAACTGTTGACCTCTCACTGAATAGTCTTGTTGGTGGTGAGGATCAATCTGGTTGAAGTTCGTAGTGCCGATCGTGGGAGTCTTCTCAGTCGGTCGTAAAAGTGCCAAAGGTGGCTGCTTCATCAGGTGATCAGCGGTACCACCGACGGCTGCTGTCGGATTGACTGCCATAGTCTCCATAGTCATTCCAGGTCGAGTCGCCATAGTCTTTCCACTGCTTTGGATTGCCCCAGTACTGCTTGTTGTGCTCTTTGTACTCTTGCTGAGTCCAGGATTGCTTCTTCTTGAGGTGCTCCTTGGATCTCTCAAAGTTGCGTTGCCTGGCGGCAGATCTGCTGCATATGTAGACCATCAGCGGACTGTGCGAGTCGGAATCTTGTGAGCCATTCATGAACATATGCTTGTTCACGTGCTTGAAGCGTTCCGCGGATGAGACCTGATAGTCGAAAATGGCAGACGTCCGATCGTTCCGCATGGCTTCCAGTTGTTCATCGTTCATGGCGTTCATCTCTTCCTTCCGGAAAGTCATCATCACATCTGGGAATGTTCGATCATACCCTGATCCAGCCTTCATGTATAGGTGATGACGGACGATGGATTTTAGGGTGCATGAAGTCTCCATTGCATACTCCATTCTTGCCACGAGTGGCAGATTCTCCGTTTCATTCCACAATCTCTGATATGCCTTCATGAGGATATTCATGAGACCCTTGGCCGGATTGAAGACGTGCTGGAGTCTGCTGTAGGTATTCGCGGATTTGTTTGCGTCTCCGGTGATCGCATTGCATTGCTACAATGTCACGAGTGGCATGATTTCGTTCTGAAAATCTTCCCGTGCTGCTCCATGGCTGATTGATGGATGAATGTGAAAAAACTCCAATGGTAGCAAACGGGAGGTCTGCCCTCGTTACGTGGCGGCTGTCAAACTCGAGGAGTGATTTGTTGGATGATTTTGGGAGCATACCACGATACTCATCACTCTGCTCGATGTGGAGAACGACAATTTCTTTGTTACGTCCGTGTCCTTGGACAGTGGTGCGTGGTGGCAATCTCGGTCCGATGTACTTCTTGGATTCAGTGAACATGGATGGTCCCGTAGTTGCCAAGCAGTCCGAGGTCGGAATGTCGTATTCAGGATCAGTGCAACTTTACTCGGTTCCGAAGAAACGTCTGAACATCCCGAATGTGGTTCCCCAATTCTGACTCTTTGTGGAAATGTGCCGTGCCAATAGTTCCACTCTTGCGGAAGGTCCGCCGCGGACAAAGCATGCGATTGGTCTGGATGACCATTGCTTGATAACGATGCCCTTGTACCCAAATCGGATGAACGTCTTGATGAGTTCTCTGGATTTCTCATCCTGAGGACTGAGGAATGCGTCTGCTTCATTTAGGCATAAGATGTGTGCGCTGTTCTGCATCATCATCTTCACGATTGGTCGATCCTTCATCGCCATGTTGTACACCTCCCTGTTGTCCAGCTTTGGATTCCTCGTGAGGTTTCCATGGTTCATGTTGATCGTCAGGGATGAGGTGAACTCATGCGTCTTGAGATGGTCCACAGGGGAACGGTCGGTCGGCTGCATCAGCAAATGCTCGGATGACTTCTGGGTTGTCATGTGACCTAAGCTTCTTCAATCCAAGTGGAAGCTTAATCGGATATCCTGATACTGGCTGTGCTTTCCTGTACTCGTCCATGGTGGGACATTCTCCTCGGTGGCGGAAATACGAGGTTGACATCTGAGTCGACGTGTGCCAATGAGGCTCTCTTGCATTCTGTCAATTTCGGATGAGCTCCCTTTGGACCCTTGTTGTACTTCTCCATGAAGCGGATGAAGTTCCTTTTGGTCTCCACGAGCTCTTCCCCGGCGTCCTTCTTGCTCATTTCTATTTTGAGGTAGATTTGATTGAGTTCCTGGATGAACTCGTCTAGGTTCTCGGGATTGAGATACTCCATGGTGACCTTTGGCTTGACGGATCTCTCCCCGGAGGGTTCCATGTTCTCTTCAACTTCGTCCTGATCGGTGGAGCGCCGTCGCTTCTTGGTCTCTGTGGATGTATCTTTTTCGGAGTTTTCCTTGTTTTGGTGGTCGTTGTTCACATGTTTGAAGAAGGCATCGGCGAATTCTTGGATCTTGCTGGTGTACATCTCAATGTCTTCACGACCGAGATTTTGCTTCATGATCCAGCTGTTACTCATTATGATGTTTCCTTCGGGGTCAAATGCTGAAACAATGTTCCTCGCCTCGATGGTCTGCTCTGTCAATGCTGTTCGCTCTTCGGAGAGTCGGATGTCGTAGTCCTCGTCCTTGAGGAATGCCAGGATCAACAATGCATCTCTTCCTGTTGGCACATGTGTCAATGCTGCTTCTGACGCTTCGTCATCAAGGATAACGTCGTCGATGCATGCCATGTGGATGTGCGCTCCCCGAAGGGTTTGACTGGGATCTGCCAGATTTCAGCCCGTGCTCCACGATGTTGATCAGATTTTCTCCATATGTAGCATGGAACATGAACGTGATGGGCTTCTTCGCGAACGGCTTGATCTTTCTTTCTTCTTCACTGGATTGAGGCGCCGGCCTTCGCATTCTGGATTTTGCCTGAGCTGTGCCTTCGTCTTCATGGGGCGCGTCGGATCTTGACGGATGCGGACTTGGAGGAATGGATTCCATTGGAAGATCATAGTCCGGTTCTTCTTGGCGAGGCTCACTCTTCTGTTCGGAGTACAGGGGTCGTCCAAAAGATTGGAGATCGACTTGTCGTGTATGACCGCTGTTGCATCTCACGTAGAACTCCATGTCGGGATCATTGAGGAATTCCTTGCCATTTGGCCGGAGTGCATCGTATGCGGATCTAGAGGTGAGGTTGTCGATCCATCGATTTCTTGGAACAATGTCTCCCCTTGCCTTGCGCTCATTGTATGACCCGTCCACGGATGGATGCACGAACGCGCTCTCGAAATGTGCCTTTCCATAGTTCGGGAACATAGCCATCAAGAGAAGTCCAGGCTTATTGCCCATGAAGTTCCTGGCATGCGTAATGCAGGTCAATGCATCATAGAGCTCAACGGATCCATCAGGACCCATGTCCACTTGTCGTTTGCATTCTCTGTGTTGGCCTTGCCTTGGATCGTGGCGAAAACATCCGGAAAACAATCTGCTCATTCTCTCGATTCGCCAGAGGATGAGGTCGGTGATCTGTTTTGCCTTGGATGAATCCATGTTGAAATATTTGCAAACCTGTTCGACATTCTGGACGGTCTTCTCGAGATCAATATGGCGATTGTGACATACCATCGGAATGATGTCGGTTCCGAAAACTTCTGGCTGAGCATTGGTATAGCAGCAAATGCTGTAGACCTTCTTGATGAAGTCCATGTATTGTTTCTCTGTGTGTTGGCCTTCACCTTGAAGCGTTGGCTGCCAGTAATCATTGAATCTGGCTCTTGACTCCATGTTGTCGTTCATGCTCAGGGATGAAGTGGAAGTCCGGATTCATCTCGAGGATGGTTGAGCACTCCTTGTAGTATTCGTACACGAAATTGAGGAATTTAGAATTCCCGAAAGGTCCTGGATGTACGGATTCCCTCTGGAGGCTGATGCCGGTATCTGATCCATCTGGTACATACCACCGATTGTTGGATGTGAGAGTTGGCCGCATCGCTGGTCGCCTTGGAAGCGCAGGTCGGTCGCCAGGATGATTGTCGGATTCTGTCTCCTCATCCAGGATGTTCTTTGGCGCTGGCTTAATCTTTGACATCGGCCTCAGTGTTGGTGGTGGTGACTTTGGAACCAGTTTCGGATGTGGCATCGCCTTCGGCATTGGATTTCCTGCGAGAGGTTGCTCTTCGT